GATCTTCCCGGACTTATAAACGTACGATCCCTCCACGCATTTGAATTCCAGATACCGCGTCACGCCAGTGTGAATTAGAAGCTTCACTAATAAGCCGTTTGCCATCAGGAACTTTGGAATCAAATCAACGTTCCAGTCGCGACCACGACCATAGCTTTCATCCGGTGGTGGGGCTTTGAATTTCCTAGATAATGCATGAAACTAAAATTAACGATCAGAATGTTTCACCAACGAGATATTTTCTCTTTAGGAAAATATATACGAATTTTTTTTTTTTACCGCACGAACGGTAATACGATATAATTGGATAATTATCGTATAAAAATTCATAACATTCCTTTTGAAAACCTCATGAAAAACATGTAAACATGAACATGTTTACGACATATTGTTAAAGTGGTTCTAATCGATTTTCTCCGGTGTCATACAAAGTGAACTTAATCGGATAAAAATACATTATCAGCAAATGATCGTAAATAATGTGCTGATACATGTTCTTAAAATAGTTAAAAAAAAAAAAAGAAAGTTCGGATAATTGTAACTGTTACAAATTTCGTGACTATCAGAATAATCGTAAAAATATCTTTCAGAAATCAGTTCTGTTTTCTGTCGTTTACAATTACACTTCAATCTGAACATTCCTCTCATTGGATTATACACCGCCAGAGCCGAACAACAGTTACTGGGTACAACAGATGGGTAGTTTAGATGCGTGTTACAATTTATTGAGTGCAGCCGGACACATGATAACCGTCTCCCCGATGAACCAGAAGCGCAATCACGCGGACGTGTTATCGTTTTTTGTTTCGTGGACAGTAGAGAAAGGACACGTTATTCCGTCACCTCATTTACAACATGTTTTCGTTGCGTTGCGAAAGATGATCTTTCAAAAAGCAATCGATACGCTGCGAGAGATCAATTTTCAAACGATAATGAGAAAAAGAAAAAAAAAAGACGTTACAAATCGAAAAACATGTTTCAATTAAAACTTGAACACAAGTAATTAATAGGATGAACATTCTTTTAATTTGAAATTCGTTCAGTCAAACGAGCATATGTTCAATTTTGCAGGAAGTAGATTAAGTTAACGGTACACGTTCGGTTACTTAACATTTTCTCTTCGTAAGTTTTCGAACATAAGGTGGTCTTAATCTATCGTCGTACTAACCGTTCTCCTTTTCACAATCGAAACTATTAAACGGGATATACATAATTTTGATGAATGTTACGAGAAGAGGAATAAAGAGAGAGGGGCAAGTAAGTGGTTAAAGAAAAAGTATCTGAAAGAGAAACATTGCGCTAGGCTAACTGTGGAAAATGCTATACAACCGATTTACCACGTTCGATCGAGCGTGTATTTCGCGGGGCGGGCCCCTCCCCCATGTTCTTATCGAATGGCATTCTAGCCAACCTTCCGATAAAATTGTTTGGAAAGGGATGAAAGAGTTTGCAAGTGGTCACACAGTAACAACGCATTACCGCAGGTGAAGATATACGTCACGCTTCGTCTCGCGATACGCTTGACGGAAGAGTCTGAACCAACGACAATCGACGGTTAAAACGACGCGAGAGAGAAAAAAGCGAGGAGAGAAAAAAAAAATCAATATTTTAGACGAATCATGTTTCCATATCGTCGTATCACGAGTACGTTGATCATAGCTCTGGATATATTGTGCATATGTACTGTGTTACGATTGCCGGTAAAATAGTGGTTTGGCGTTAAAATTGATCGGTCGTGATTTCCCTGCTAATCGATCAGACTTACGCGAATAGATCCTCAAGAGGCGTGATCGAGGCAGATTCACCACCGTAATATTTATTACGATCTACATGGAGCACTTTCTTCCCACTGACCGAAAGCATACCCGAAAGTATGCATTCCTTGAGTCCGGTGCCCAACACGATCGCGTCGTATTCTTCATTCATGTTGTTCGAAATGCGAAGGAACTGAATCACAGCACTGAAACGCACGAGCGCGAATTCCTCGTTAAGTCTTTCTCGGGAATGCTATGAAAGTCGGAAAATGATAGTACACGGTCGCACGTCTGCCACCTCGCACGGCTATTATGCCGGAACGGAAGACCTCGTTCTTTCGTTTCGCTACCGATGACGGAGCCGCTGGTAGAACAACGATGGTGTGGCTGTATTACTGCTGGTGGAGCTACTGCAGCGTTACGACACTCCCTAGCTACTTGCAATTCCCCATTCTACAATTCGTTGTAACATTTCTTGTAACAAGAATGGAATGTTATATTTCATAATTATAGACGTTTTACTGTTAAATTTCGTTTTTCTAACAATATTCGACAATTTGGAAATATCAACGAATCTATCGATTCATTGACTAATTGTTAAAAAGCCCGACTTGTAATATGCAATAATACATACATTCATCTTTCGATGTATACCTGTTCGATTCAAGAAACGGTTAACGGTAATTACAAAGAATCAAGTATAATCAGGAGTGCATGATGACTTTCAAAAATCGCGGATACGTATTCCTAGGGACTTTACGTCCTCTATATTAAAAAAGTTTAAAGAAGAGCGACAACGGTAGGTGGCGGTAGTGCAAAAGCTTGCGGCGACGGTAGTGGTTGATAGGTTGGCCGATACGATACAAATTGTCAGTACGTGTTGGACGATAAGGTCATTCGGTTTGTTGCCGCGGGACGCGGATAAACGGTAGGATTCGTAGATCGTGCATATAGACGGTAAACGCACGATAGTTTTCGAAAGGATTGTGAAAATAAGGAAATAATCGACGTGGAAATCGTTCGATCGAGCATTTACGTGAAACTTTGTAACATGTCAAGAAGATGTGCGGTAGTAAATCTAGTTTCTCGGGAGAGATCCGCTTAGAGAAACGCGGTGCGTTGTAACCCGTTAGTTTTCCTGTCAAAAAGAGGCACGCGAAAGTACCGGTTGTTTTCCTGGTTCTATTCGCTTCTGCACTCGACTGCTGGGGGCTTTTTCACGGAGTTACTTCACACAGAACACTGGAAAGAGACGAGTACGTGAAACGATGCTCTTGAGAGTTTGAAGACATCGTGGGGGATAGCTGTGCCACCCCTCGTGCTTCCACGAGCATTAACTAAGGCCACGTGGACCACGTCGGGAGATTAAAAAAATGTAAGGGCGCGATTTTGTCATATTGTCATCGTTAGATTATTCTCCGTGTTAATTGCGATTGAACACCTGATTATATTACGTTATTGATATACAAACGTGTGTAAATTGGAAAAATTTTAAGTTCGTCGCGTCCTTTTCCCTCGTTGTCATTGTCGATTGAAAGATGTGCGTGCTCCGTTTACGCTAATTAAGCGCCATCAAATTTAAAACGATCTTCGCGAGAGAGCGTAAAGAATTAACAACTGCGTACCTCGGAAAAATCTCGAACTGAAACTACAAAGTCCCTAAACGATTAGCGATTGTCAGAGCGCCTAATGATCGCGTTGATCGATTACTAACGTCGCAAAATCAGATCGAGATTCGAAACACGAAACGGCTTTCGAGTGTACCGTAGAATCGATCTCCCTGTTGCTTTTTCCAGTTTCTAAAGTGTCAACGTACTACGTGCCGGTGTTTTGAACGTTTACTTAATTATTACGAGAAAGTTTCATCTAAATGCGGAAGTTCGGGGCGTTCTAGCGAAACGGTAACGAGAGAGTCTGGAAAAGCGAGAACGTTTAAAGAGTTCGTAATAAAAGATCATCGGAATTCACGGTAAAAATTTTTACGGCGATAAAGTAGAATTTCTTCGTTGTAAAATAATAAAAGAGAAAGAATAAATTGTTAAAAAAAGAGGTTCTTCGTTCCAATTTCATTCGCTGGACATCTGAAACGAAGGTGAGCCGTATTTCGTCAAATCTAGTGTGTTCTTGCGGCACAGCCAAACGGGTCGAAGGTTACCCTCGAGAATCGGTTATACATTTTTTTTTTTCGAACCGTCCGACGACGGTGTTGTTCGTGCTGAGCTACGGAACCGGTTGCTCTGCGAGTGGTCTCCTAGAGACGGGTAGAAAAAAAGCGAGGTCATCTTTGGTTCGTTATCCAGAAGGTCTGCTATACTACACTACACGTTTAATTGCATAAACTGTCTATCGGTGGAACGCATTGAGCGTCGAACGGTTCGCTCGAGGATACGATTATACCGGTGAGCAAGAAAGAACGCGACGAACGCGGTCGGCCCTCCGCGTTGACGAAATAGAATACCGACAGAGTCAAATTAAACTGGTTCGATGCTCGGTTAAAAAGAGAAACCGTTTCGTTCGGTTTAGAATCGAAATGAACGAATTTAGTGAAATTTGAGTAGGGGAGACGTTGTAACGTTACGAGAACCTGGGAAACGCTAAGATCGAATTCTATCGCGTTAGGTAGAACCGCACTTGGTGAATCGCGGCCGGAAATTCTAATCGACCGGCAGATAGCGAATTCATTATATATTGACGTTTCACCTGGAACCACGTAGAGGTAATGCCGGGACCTTAAGGATAAATGGCATAACTCTGAAATTAATATAAAATTAATAGGAAATTAATATGAAAAAATTAATACGAAATTAATATAATTAAAGAAAAATTGAAAATGTAGTTCACTAAAGCAATATTTTCTTTAAACAATAACTTACGTTAAATTTTGACAAAAAATAAAAAAACCTGAAAATAAGAATTTTACGAAGAGGTGCGATACAGTATTCTTTACATCCCCAACCACTGCACTTTCATGGGCCCCCCACCCAGAGCAAATTATACACTGCACCTAATTTTCGTCCCAAGTATGCACCAAGACGGTCGTGTTACAGTTCTTTTGTAATTACCAGGGATTTTGTTGCAATATAGAAATAAGGTTAAATTAAAATATTACGATGCATTACGAATAAAAAATCAGAATCGAGTAATATCTATCTGAAATACCGTTTTAATAATGTTAATGCACTTGTAGCGATTCTGCCCCGGTATGCAATTTATTAATTATTGCAGATTACCGATACCATCATGACGAATTGAAAAAAAATTCTATTACATATTCATACTTTAACCCCTGAACGTTCATACTCGTCACCCACACGTGCACAGTTAATCGTCCAATAAGTGGACTTTTTTTCAAATTATTTTCTTTCACTTTCCACATTGCGTTATTCGCTCCATTATGCCAACAGAGGTAAGTCACAGCATTATAAAAAATGGGCAACTTATTTCTATGCACCTCGAGAATAATTGAACGAAAGACAAACTTCATATTATTTGGCGCATCAAGCTGAGAGAAACGTACACGACAAATAGCGTAATTCATACGAAAAAGTACTTAGGTGCCTAAACAATATCAGCAATTCGATCACCGACAACCCCAAAAAAACTATCGCAACTCTGGAAGATATTGGATTATGGGAGTTACTGGTTGTTAAATAATTAATAATCCTTATTTTAAACTATAAACTTTTATTAGACACAAGGAAGGTTCGCTTTCCTATTTGATGGTAAGAGCACTGTATACAGACTGAGAATGCTCCTACGCAACGCCCTAATATTGCCTTACGGCCCCGTTTGGGACCGAAGGGCCTTTTGTCACGTATCATAAACATTTAGATCTTTACTAAACAGAGGTGGTAAGGCTAAACGGATTTCTCCGAACGTATACAAAAGAAATATATACTTCCTAGTGTCGTCGAATCACTTTAGACGGTGAATTTTACGAATATAAAGTGTACGGTCTAAACTGCCTTGTTATTCAATGCTGACTGCCTTCGTTCTTTTTCGAGGCTGCCTTTATATTGGGGTTTTTGGGAGTTGCGGGTGGGGGAATTTAGGAATGCGTCCGTTAGGTAAGGACCAATGTGTGAGGATAATGAGCAGGACTCGTTGGGATTGAGGGTTCGATGGTACGGGAGAAGAATTGTGAATGAACTTGAGGATTCGGTACAAGAGAAATGGTTAGAGTGCATCAGTTTGAAGATCTGCCGGAGATAGGACAGGAATTGGGCGGGAAAGTGGAAAACTGGGATAAGGATCTGTATGCACGGGATTCAAGGGACAAAGGGACGAGGATTCGATATTATATCTAACTGACTGATAAATCTAACAGAAGACCGCATACGAATCGCGAACGTATCTTCTTTATGCACAAATCCAAACGACGTCAGTTGTCAGTTTTAAAAATAATATCGTTGCTTATCGCACACGCGTTATTTACCACGGTTATTACACACTGACGTTTCTTTCTCATCGATCTTTCTAGAGTTTCCTATCGTTAACTTTCCTCGGGAAAGAAAAAAAAAAGGAACATTCTTTTCAAGGTCGCGTAAAAAGTTTGTCGCAAAGTCATTGCAATTAGAATGCACTCGGGACGGAAGCGTAGCGGTGTAGAGGAAAACATCCGACACTTCCATTGCTGCGACGTTGTGGAACACGTTCGGTGCATATTTCGGTTTCCCATCGGAGCTAACGAGATAGAAGCGAGAATTTTCCATGGTGTTATCCCGGCGTGCAATAATTGATAACGGCTCGTTAGGCGTGTGCGAGAGCCAGTTCCGCCGCGGCGAACTCTCCCCCTCTTCGAAGCGGGGAGGAAGGGAGGGCGTCGATATTCGCTTGACCCAATTCCGCTCTTCGGCCTTTCCTACCCTTGATATTGTCCGTTTACATTAGAACGCGGGATTTACGCCGGCCCGATGGCTGTTATCGATCACCAGCCGGAATCCTTCACTCGGTTTCACTGCTACCCCGCGAACACGTTCGCTTTTCCGCGGTTCACCCCGACAGCCACCCTCTTCCGCTCTCTGTTGCACCTTTTCAAAGGTTTCGAGCGAACGCGGTAGATTCCCACACCGTGGCCTTCGAATTAGGCTCGACGTGCGGTAGAAATAGCAAATTGATTATTTAACCTTCCCGAGCTCTCCTCTCTCTCTCTCTCTCACTGCTGCATCCTCGATGTATCTTCGCGCATCGCGGCTAAGTTTTCGGTGGAAATTTTCATCGATCGCGATTACTCGAGGTGCAGAGTGATTCGGTGGCACGATTTAGCAGCCACGGGATTGTTAGTAGAGTAAATAGTATTAACGTGGGATATTTGACGAATCGTTATTCTCCCTCTCGAACTCGGCCCTCTAACCGCGCGACGCTCGACGTCGTAATCGAATTGTTTAATCCAGTTTGGCCTAATTAGCTCGGCAATTTCGTTTAGCCGCCACGAAAAGCGAGCTCCGATTGACCGGTGGTTTGGTGGTAAAACGGTGGAAAAGTAGGTAGGAGAGATACCGGAGGACAGTCGAGAGGGAATCGTCGTGGGTTGAATCGGAGATCGCGACGATGGCGAAACGCGAGACTGGCTTTATCGTTTCGCAAACTGACGCGTACGCAACGAACGACCGATAAGAGTATTTCAGTGTTCGACTCTCGGTGCTTCGAGACTGTGTTTGCTTGTTGGCGGACGCAGCAATTGTGCGGGTGCCTTTGCCAAGAGAAAGGAACGCCAGTCCGCGTGCGCTTTCGTGTTAAATTCACGAGCGAAAAATCGACCGGCGAAGTGTCGTTATCATTTTTCCCCAGCGTTCACTCTCGCGTTTTTCTGTCTTCGTTCCGGTTTCTCGGCGAATCGTCGATACATCGAGATAGGAATCGGAGGATTCGCGTTGTTTCACGGACAAACTCGAATGTCCGTTTCGTCACCGATACTATCGGATTATTCGTTGCAAGGTGATTACGGCTTCGCGATGTTTTACAAAAATCTACCGAAGCACCGTCGACGGCTCTAATCTATCGGTTTTCGCTTGTTCGAAAGAAAAAACAAAGCTCCCTCTCTCTCTTTACGTGCAATCTTATTAATAGCACGTCTATATTGGAGAAATAAATACGAATTGGACCTGTGTAATCGGCACTGTATGATTACATCGAGGATTTCCCGTGAAACGGATATAAGTACACTTCCGTTCGTAGATAACAAGCTGAATCGATTCTCACAATTGTCACTTCGATCCGCTCTATCGTCAGATGTGCCAGCATGTCCGAAGTCGGCGCGCCAGAAGCAGCGAGCGAGAAGGTGGACAGACAGGCGTCGGTTTACGTGTTCCCGGGACCAGGTCGTCAGCATTATCCGAGCTCGGCGCCACCTCAGCCAACCGGTGTCTCTGTTCCCGATGCTGGCTCGATCACAATCACAACCACCGTTCCTTCGCCGAGCGTGTTCGCGAAGGGGAACGAGAACAGCAACGACGAGAACGACGACGTAACGCGTGGCAGAAGAAGAGCATGCCCGAGGACGCACGCAAGATCGGCAAGCCACGGTGGAGTGTTGGCGGAATGTCTGACGAACGCTGGATTCCCGCCACACGCGGGATCTTATCTGGGACCTCTGTCAGCGATCGGGCCCACGAGGCCCTCGGCCTTGAAGAAACCTGGTCACCAGAGAGCGTTCAGCCAAGGCCAGGTGATAGACGTTCAGGGGCACTCGGTGACGGGACACAGCCGTGTCGGCTCCAGAACAGATTTCATCCTTCCGCCTGGCCACAGAGAGGACTCGAGGCCACCCACGGCTGGAAAGGTGCCCTCCTTTCGCGGTCACTCGCGTCAGGCGTCCAGGTAGGTTCGTTTCGTCACGGCAGAAATCTAGAGCCGTGACGTGGTAATCGATACGTTGATTCGAATCTACTTAGACTCGGAGGAAGGTTGGAAAAGCCTGCGAATTGTCGTACGATGTGAATTGCATTTCTCTCGAAGAGCCTGGCTCTGTGCCTTTATTTAGCGACGGATGGGGCACGGTTGACGGTCGAGAATCGGCTTGTAATCCAGCCGATGATTCAGTATTGTCTACAGAAGCGGTACATGTCGGATCTTTAAAAATAACTTCTTCCTTTATTGCTCGAACAATGAAACCGATCAGCGTGTGCACGCTGTTTCTGTCGCGTTTCGCCTGGATAAAAGTAGATGGTCTGCGGTCGTTTGGTCGTTCACCGAAACTTGGTGTTTTAAACATCCTCGAATCTCGCGATAACATCGCTCGCGTGAATTTCAAGCGACGTTGACAGTTGCGAAACCAAGCGATACCTCGGGATCAACGTCTCCTATCGTAGCTCTCGTTCCTCGGAAGGAAGAAACCGTCCGCTGCTTCGCTCGCATATTTTAACCTTAATCAGACCTACTCGAGGAAGGACCTTTTTTATCGAGAGTTGGTTTGCCCGTGTATCGTTTTGCAGATCAGAGTCGATATACACGATAAGACGTAGCGCAGAACCTCCGTGGTGGAGGAAGTTGTGGGCTCGATGTTTCGGTCCTTTACCGGAGGAACCTCGTTTAAGGACAATAGTACCGAATCACTTAGTGCCACCGAAAACACCCACGAGTCAGCATCCTAATGGCAAGAGAGTGGACAATAGGTAAGGTCGATCGCGTCAGCGAATGGTCTACGTTCGTTTCACGGTTAGGCGTGACGGAACGATACGGGTAGGAGGAAGACGAGAGTGAAAACGTTGACATCGGTACGCCACCTGAATTCCGGCTCGTTTCCGTATGCTTTCAGAGTACGCACAACCAAGTACACCATGCTGAGCTTCCTACCTCGCAATCTTCTCGAGCAATTTCACCGCGTGGCCAATATATATTTTATATTTATCGTTCTACTTAATTGGGTGCCGGCCATAAACGCCTTCGGTAAAGAGATCGCTATGATACCGGTGATCTTCGTGCTGGGTGTGACTGCGTTGAAAGATTACTTCGAGGACCGACGAAGATTGGCCAGCGACCGACGCGTCAATAATTCAACGTGCCGTGTCTACGTCAGGTGA